ACATGACATCAGAGACTCAGAAGCTCAAATTAGTATTTTCTTTTCAAAATTGGCTCAAGTTTCCCTCCTCCCCTCCCATTTGATGGAAATCCACCTGTGTTTAACCTCCTAAACCAAGATATTTAGAGTGGTGGAAATCAGGTGTCTTCCATGGGTTGTCAAATCTCCTTGATAACAAGGAAAATGCTTGAAATAGGCAGTTTTGCATTCATATTTTTGCTTACTACTTGAATGTGTTGATCATGTTAAGATCTATTTTTCAGTCCATTGCACCTTTTGTTTTTATTCAGTTTTGGTCACAAGTATACTAAACTGCTTGTAAAAATTTTTCTTGTTATTCTTAATTGCATAAGGTTCTTAGGAAGGGACAATAACATTAGTGTGTGGTTATTTTAGTTTCACAACAGAATGAGTTCTGAATTATCTCTTGTTTGTCGTTTCATTTGTTGATTGAATGGTGTTTTGTCTGAAAACTCGCCACTGAATTAGCATCCAGACTTAAGGACGTAAAGAATATTGTCTTACGGCTGTAGTCTGTTGATACAGATGGACTGTGCCTTCATTCAATCACTGCATTGCATGCTTTCATGATAAAATATCACGCATCTTTGTAGCATTAAGTTACAATTATAGTTTTTTCATACATGTGTGATGTTAAACGCTTAAATGTTTAAATGTTACAATCCACTCTTCTGTTGGATCTAAAAGCTTTTGAAAAGTTGAAATATTTTTAATTTGCTTTGTAGTATCAGTGGTATAGTGGCATTAAAATGTTAAAGGGTGTCTGGTTTTAAAGCTAATTTTTCTCTAATGCACCAAGTTATTTATGTTTTAACAGTCAGATGATCAAATAAGTCTGTGATTAAACAAATTCCACTGTTTTGTTATTAAAACTTAAAGCTTATGATATTCTTTATTAAGTGTGCAATGGAAGAAGTTTTTGGGTTTCTAAGTCTTTTTTCATCAGTTACATTATACATGACTTTGTAAAGAATGTATTTTTGATGTCATCTAATTTGCTTGTTGTCTGAAATTGGCTTGCTAATTTGGATAATATTGATAACTCAAAGCCAAGTTCAGCCAAAGACAGCTGATTCAATTTAGTTCTTGATGTTAACGTTTGAAATTTAACTTGAAGGTTATATCTAAAGCAAGACTGCTGTTATCTAGATAACCATTTTTTTTCTTCTTTGTTAAGCTTGACAATGTGTGAGAGTAGTCAATAAAGAAAGACTGTTGTTAAGGACTGGCAGTTTAGATTATTTGAACAGCCGTCATCTTCACATCAAGTGAAATAGCTTCATCACACTTTGATATTAGCAATATTTGGTCTAAGGTCAGGTTTGTTAAAAAGTTGACAAATGTGCTAAATGCATTTGTTGCTCTTTTGTTTATGTTTTGCAATTATTAGGACATTTAATTGTTCTGGTTGCATCACAGGCAGCCCAAGTGCAAGATGAGAGGAAATAATTAATGTAAATGAAACGTATGCGAACGCGACTCTTGCCTTCGAGCGGTGTTGTGTTACAAAGATGTGATTTACAAGGGTTTGTATGGGAACTTTACAGGTTTGCTTTAAATACCTAAAATTTAATGTTCTGTGAATAAAACTGACTTACCTTGCTTTCCTGTCATATTCTTTGTTGTTTCACGGTGTTTGAGGCCGTTTTGAAGTGTTTTCAGCGAGTTAGCGCTGGTGGTGGTGTCCCACTAGAAAAAACACAAGGTTGGCTGGCTCAGAATTGAACCATCGTACTGCGAAGGCCAAAATATTCCTGAGGAATGGACCTAGCTGCTTTAAATCACGATCAGCCGAAGCGTGAATAACTTGCTTCCTAGTCCGTCGGTCGCTGGTTCACAAATCTCATCGCAACGGCCTGAAAATTGCTCGTTTACTGGCTCAAATCTGCCTCTCTCGCTGCTGCATCATGCGTATACCAACAGTGAGGATACCAGATTTGAAAATTGAAGCTTAGCTACCACGTCCGCTTGACAAAAACAGCACTCGGTCGGGGTGGGAAGGAACTATTGCCTATATGCAAATCAACACTGTGCGAGGGTACACTGTGTCAGATTTCACTGAAAATGGCTAAACTGGAAACCGCTGGGTTATTTGAAGCCCTGCGAAAAGCCATGAATGCATTCGGATTTCAGTTTTGAACTTTCAAATGAATGTTCATTCTGTCATATAGGCAATAGTTTCGTCCCATCTCGACTGAGTGCTGTTTTTGTCGAGCGGACGCGGTAGCTAAGCTTTGATTTTCAAATCTGGTATCCTCACAGTTGGTATATGCATGATGCAGCAGCAAGAGCGAGTTATTTAAGGCTTGAAACAGCAGCATCACAAATTTGCTATGGCAGTTAATTTACCATTATAAAGATGAAGTTGATTAATAGCTCTGAGGTGATTGATTGGAAGACTTGACATGGTTTTGTTATCGGTTTTCATTTATGTGTTTTTCTTGAGTTCAAAGGTGATTTACTGCATTGTTTGACAGTTTTATAAATACTGTAAGTCATTTGTATTTGGAGTGTTGAAGGTGAATTGCTAATAAAACACACTTTGGAGGTTCTCCCTTCTACCTGCCTTTTTGTTGGTGTGGCCCACAATTTTGTGTTTTGATTTACAAGTTATGTCGTATGTAGTAGTAAAGGCTTTAAACTTGAAGCCGGGATCATTTTCAGAGTTGCTTTAGTGGCCATTGCTGTTGTGGAGAGGTGTCTGTTGCAGAGAGGTAATAAGAGTGAATGTAAGGACATTCTGCCGGGACATAAAAAAGTGGCGGTTGTAGAGAGGTGGCCATTGTGGAGAGGTGGCTGTTAGTGGATGTTCAGCTGCAGTACACCTTATCAGGGCTGCTGATTTTCTGCGATTTCACAGAATCGACCTAAAATCACAACAAATTGCATAATTCACGAAAAATCGCAAAATTTGTACAAAATCACACAAAAGGAAAAAAAGAGGAAATTTTTGCTTTACTCTAAATTCTTTGACAATTGCTTTAAACGTAATTTCAAAGTGTTTTACCTTTCAAAAGACCATGGAAAGCTTCTGTAAGTGTTCGTTTGACAAATGAACAAACAAACAAATGGGTGTCCAGGGACCTGGTGCTAGTTATCAGTGTTACATGATTGATAATTGAAAATTTCATTTGATCTCCCCATACATGTGTTTTCCATGAAAGTATCAGCTTGAACTGCTCGATAGTCGCTTGCAAGATGTAGTTTTTTCGATTAACTCGAAACAGACATCCGCATGGATAAGTTTGTTGTTAAATTGCCAAGTGCTTCTTCCCAGGAGAAAAAATGATCGCACTTTCCTGTAATATTTAATACTAATAGCATTCTTAATATTGATAATTAATTATTTTTAACACTAAATTGGCAAAATTGGGCATCTCCAATTTCAATATTTTAAAATGAGCCAACAGAAGATTTATTTCAGATGCTTTATAATGATTCCTTTGTCCTGTAATAGCCGGTCTTGGACAGCAAAAAAATGGGTTGCACTCCTGTGAGACCTAACAAAACAAGGTTAAATTAGCTAAAAATAAATTGCATAATTTGCCGCGTAATAGACATTTTCTTGCAGCATAATGTTCCTTGAAAATTCCGCACAATTTTCTAAAAATTCTTGTTCAGAATATCAGAAGCCCTGCCTTATGTGCACTTGTTTGATAATATTTGAAGCTTACACTGAATGGTGCCAACTCTTCTATAAATTATTTACAGTTGTACAAGGCTGAGGAGGGTTCAGGACTTATTACAATGTGATGATAATCCAGTAAATGGTATCCTTTGTGTCCTTGGTAAGTCTGTATATACATGAACAAAATTTAATATTTTGTTGCACTTAAGTCCTGTTTGTTTTTGATGGCAAGAGTTGGTCACTTGCATTCTGTCAGTTGAGCACAAAATAAAATAAATGTCAATTGTATTTAGTATTACAAAAGCCATTAATTAGACATTAATTTTAATTTTTATCAACTTCTGGATAGTAATCACCTGACTGTTCCACTTTTCCTCTGATGTATCACAGTGGATTCTTAAGGAACTAATCACTTTGCTATCAAGTCAAGCTCACTGCTTCCTTAATAATCATCAAAGCAAGGCTATATTGCCATAAACGTGGAAGAAAATGCAATTTTATATTGTTGTGTTGAGAAATTCTTGATCATTATTTATTTATTTATTTATTTACATTTTGTATTTATTTATTTATTTATTTACTTATTTATTTATTTATATATTTTACTTTTCATACAGGTATTGATGGCAGGTAAGACGACTTCTGTTATTGCCAGATACACAAAGTTAATAGTAAAGCAATTGTACAAAAATTGAAGATGTCTGATTTAGTGAACTTGTGTCAACACTAGAATGCGTTTTGTGGTACTGAACACTACATTTTCACACTTGCGTACTTACATGTATGTTATGTGCCTCTGAGAATAATTTGGTAAGATGTAAAAACTGAGGCAATGTGCTTCATGATTTTCATTATTCTCATAATCTCTCTGCTTACCAACATACAACATTGCATTGATATAGTTATGAGAACATTTGAGCAGTGTCTGGATTTCTTGTTATTGTTTCAGGTACAATGGTGGAACAAAACATCTGCTTAATTACTTACTTTTTGACTTTTGTGAACTTACACCAGGAGATTTTAGGTGAGAATAATAAAAGGGCTTGAAGGAGGAAAACATAGATTGGTGCTCCATTGTAAAATTAAGTGTGATCTGGGCCAGAGGAAGAGAAAAGCCAATATACTGTATTGCTTAATGAGTGAGATTTGCTCAGATAGTAATAATTCATCATTTACATGTAGTTTTACTGTGAACTCATACTAATTTATATATTATGCTGTGTTACTGTGTATCAGATCCAACTTTCCTAGCAATACATTACACTAAACTGGGCTGACATTGTCCACATCAGAAGAAGCTGTCCAGCCCATATAAATGTACATTTACTGCATTAGGTTTGACTGGACTGGAAAATAATAGTTTTGGCTGATTTCAATTTTTTGCAAATCGTGCTGCACTTAGTTGGTAGTTATTTATGATCTCATTAACTAGGTGTCGCAAAGCGAGGTTGTCACAAAGTTTTGAAGTAGGTGGTTTTATATGTTGGAGTTGGTGGCCCAGTAGAGTAACTAGCCAAGATCTTGAAGCAGTTTACTATTTTCCCCATCGGCCGGCTACATGCACTTTTGACAATCCTGGCATTTTCTCATCCAGCACTCCCACAAACTCAGTATTGTGTAATTGTTTTCTCTTTTGCTTGTATTTCAGTGGAAGTAGAATTACAGATGAGGAGCTTGAAGGTACAGACAAACAGTGTACAGATATGCAAACAAACATGGTTATGTATGCTAGTTGTATGCAATTTCTCACAAGATTGTTTCTTAACAAGAGTATTTCTTACTAAAGAGATAGGTATCTCGACCTATCTACTTTTATGAAGCCTATATTGACAGGAAAAAAAGGGGGGGCTAGGGGATTGTTGGAAGGAAGGGGGGATTCTTTCTGAATTGTCCATAGCATATAATTATTTTGAACAGTGTACACACATACAACATGCCATTTCAATGCAGCTACTTATGTGTAAAATGCTTCATAGAGTTGGTGTTTATACTGATACTTTTTGTTTTGGTTCCAGATATTGTGGTTATTGTGAAGGCAGAAGGTGTCCATGTCTACTGCAATCCTATCAACTATCCTTTACTGCTTCCATACATTGCATACTGGAGAAATCTACACATACATTGCTTGAATAAGGAAGAGGTAAACACAAATTAGTTGTGATCATTATAATGGAGACAAATGACTACCAGCTCTTTACCTTGCTGGATAGAGACTAGGTGGTACATTCAAAATCCCCTTGTTCATGTTTAACACTGATGTGAGTAATACAATTGCCATACCCAAAGTAGCCAATCAGAAGCTTGGTCTATTGTCCTGATATGCTGCAATATCAAGTCACTGACCTGATATGGAGCCCTGATATCATGGTCACTTGGTCAAATTTGCTAATGGTAAGATACCTAATTGTACCTTTTTTTGATACGTTTCAGTGGCATATAAGGCTTGTTTGGTCTTGCCATGGGTATTTTGGCTTCACTGACTGTCTCGCTAAAATATGAACCATGGCTTGACCGGACTTGCTTGATATGCAGGTAAATCATGCCAAAAAGGTATGATTAGGCACATGAATTAGACAACAAGGGAAGGGATCTGTGTAAGAGTAACATGCTTTGTGATTAGTATCTCACATGAACTCTTGACCTGTGATCACTCTACCTCCCTTTTCTGTTAAACAACATGGATTTTATTTGAAGTATTTAGAAGGTGAATAATGCAGAACAGAACAGAACATGATGTGATTTTTACTTTGCCTTCCTTGATTGATTTTAAGTATGAAGGTGATGAGGAGAAGGCTGAAGAATTCAAGATCGTTAGTTTCATCTCCATGGTGAATGGCTGCCATCATCTTGGTGTACCATATGGAGGTGAGTAGAACAGGCATGTTTGGGCAAACAAGTGCTGCTGTTAGATAATCTGTTTAAATCTCTACAGTGCACAGTATATATGTGTGATTGTGCATGTATACGCATGTTTGTTCCTGTTATCCAGTGTTAGAATAGCAGGGATGTTTAAGTGTACAGAAAGTTGTCCTGTCAACATACATGTATTTACCATAAGCAGATGTGGCTGAATTGTTCCTTATATGAAGTTAAGAATGCTTACTCCATAGATCAAATTTGCATTCTCCTCTTTAAATGGAGGCTTTTACAGGAAATTATTACGTCAGTTTCACAAACTTGCTACACCAGTTAATTTATCTTTATCAACCTCAAGCTGATAAGCAGCTTAGTGTAACAACATCTATGCGTGCTTACATGTAGCTTAGTATGGCAGGTTCTTATATGACATTTTGTATTGACATGTATCAGTCCCTAGTCCAGGTGACCAGCAGCCTCCTTTTGATCCATTTGTACTGGAGAAATGGCCACTAGTGCAAGCATTTGCTCTGGAGGGCTTTGGAGGGTAATGAGTTATTGATCATGAATTTCATCACAACACTGTCAAAGAAGCTGTGGATCCCGAGGTGATAGCTAAGTGGATCTGCAGACTACTTTGACAATGTTATAATGAAATTCATCGTCAATAACAGGACATGCATGAAAAACTGATGTCAATTTGTTTTTTACAATAACAATATTGTCAAATTGTCCACTCATGCTAGTTGATGCATTGCATCAATTATAAGTTCATGTGTCTGTCTGCTTATTGACAATGAAAATTAGCCAATGAACGCACAGGAAATTCTGCAGTTATCATAAAAGTGGAAACTGATACTTTGAATGTAGGATGATAAAAAATTGAACTGGCCATATTTCTATACTTGAACACATACATGTATACAATATCTAGCATAAGAATAGCCTGTTCCAGCTGATTGGTTAGTTGGGGAGCAGTGCAAAAATCTAAGTGAAGGGCTTGGAGTGAGGAGCAAAAGAATGTCTGTGAGAATATTTAACAAATTCTCCTTCCACTCTACCAGATTCTGGTAAGCCCTCTGATTGGTCCATTTTCACAGTTAAGTCAACACTTGAGTTGAGAGTCATGTGCCATTCTTATGGTAGAACCATGAAGGCAGTTCTAAGAACTGGACAATTTTTTACAATTAATGTACTGTTCTCATTTTGGAAAGGAGGTGTGTCTTGAAGAAGCATGTTTTAGCTTAGACTTTATTAAAACTCATATACCTTATTAAAAAATAACAAATTTCTCTCTACAGTGGTGGATTTTTCACCATGCATCATAAGGTAAGAGAAAGCATCAAATATCACATTTTGCACTTTCTTTTACAAATCACATTTGGATTGGTTATTAAAACCAAACAGACATGTGTACTGGCACCCATCTTGGTGCGTTAGCAATGCTTTGTGACTGGTCAACAGATATACTTGTTAATTCCCCTGAATTCTGTTGGCTAACTGAAAAATTAACCCTGTCCTGATCTGTTACAAGCACTTATAACCCATTAATTTTTTAATTCACATGTAGATATTTTTTAAAAAAATGTCTTAAATTCTAATTCCAAATGTTAGATGAATGATTGTTGTGATGTTTAATATCAGGTTGTTGATGTGACTCAAGATTTGGACACAATTTATGGTTTGTTGGACCCCGTGGTGGTGGAAACCTTTGTCCAAGAGGTACATGTAAATGTTTTGAACCCTTGACAATCAAGGTGTACTGTAGTAACACCTCAGCTCATTAGATGTTTTTAGGCGTCACAAGAGTAGTAGACAGTTCTACAGTAGTTAGGAAGAATGTAAGTGTGAGATGTAAGCCGTTGAATGGAAATAAAAATGTGAAAAAAAAGAACGTAACACCCCTGTCTAGTAACCACTATCGCTAATATTGTTCAAAGTGTAATGACTGCTCTCAAAGTCTATTTTCAACATAAATATTCTTGCCGCTTGTCTTTATTTCCTTGCAGGGTTAATAACTTAGCTTCTTATTTGTCACTAGACTCTTCCTTTATTTGAACGTCACTGTAAATCTGTTCTGACAAATGTGGATACAGAAAGGTGAGCTTGACTTGTGAATTAAATGACAGAAATCTCTTAATTTGTACAGTCAAATCTGTACTCCTGGAAGGGCCTAGTACAGTACAATTATATATGCTGATACATACATGTACATACTTTTGAAAGGGTGACTTCAACTGTTTGATAGACGTGATCCTTTTATAGAGGTCCAATTTACAGAAATTTAGGGAACGATTGGTGGGACTTTGACAAGTGGGTGCTTAATAAAGGCTGACCTATTAGTACAGGTTTTCTTTGTGCAGGTGTAGCTAAACATTGTACCATATTTACTACTTGAACTTAAATCCAAAGACTTAAATCCCTTTTTGCTTTTCTGTAGCTCTGATGAACTGCTTAAAGTTACAGAAAGGAGTTTAAGTGAGGTAGGTTAGGCACCTGTTGCCATCTTTGAAAGACACTGTTTGCAGTGATTTCAATTTCTAATGTAGCCACTAGGTATTTGTGTGGCTCTTAAAAAGATCTATTCCATATGACTGTACAGACAACACTGTTGTGAGCGCAGTTCAACAATTTCTTCATAAACATGTGCTATCTACCGCAATCCTTGCCAATATGACTTGCACAATTAGCATGCTTCAAACATTTTGAGCTAGTAAAATGCACAAGCATTAGCTATATTGGAGAATTCAAAACAGTAAATAAAATAAATGTGTTATTAATCATCACAATAAGAACTTTTTTCTTCTTGCAGCCCATTGTAAGTTATTTCACTCATGGACACATTCTTGACAGAGACAAAACCATGAGGTACATGTAAGCTAAAATTTATGCAAACATGAACTCCAAACAGAGCTAGACAAAAACTTCAATTCCAGCTTGCCCTTGGGACAAGTGGCTCTCAAATTTTGCTTGCCCTGGGCAAATCTTAGTGTACTTTTTTATTGATTTAGTTGGCAGATGACTTGCCTGATCCCTTGCCCAACAGGCAAGTGA